TGTTGGTTGATAATAATATGGACGAAGAGCATGATGAAGAGTTTGGATTCGAGGACAATATCACATCGGATGATGAGAATGATATGGATGACAAGCATGAAGATTTAGAATAATGAACTATTTATTGAATGTATTAATAAATATGTATCGATGAAAACAATGAATCATATATTGAATGTGTTAATGAATATGTATTTATGAGAATGTATTTTTCCAATTTATTATTTTTGTTGATGAATATATATATATATATATATATATATATATATATATATATATATATATATATATATATATATATATATATATATATATATATATATATATATATATATATATATATATATATATATATATATATATATATATATATATATATATATATATATATATATATATATAGGTAAGATGTCACCTCGAATTGATAAGAGTAAGGATAATGGTAAGAAGTCCCAACGCCCGAGGTTAGTAACATGTGAGGCATCTCAGTCGGCCACATATTCTCCCCCATAAAGTCAGATTAATTCTATGTCCATGGCCAATACTCATCCTGTTGTATCATTACTCTCCTCTCAAAATATGTCATTTCCATTTGGGAGTTCGTCTTTTATTAGCCCGTCTGGGGTACCATCTTTTGTTAGGCCATTTGATTTTCTTTTTCCGCTGACCCAGATGCCCTCATCCTTCCAGCATATTGGAGGATCCAGTTTTTCACATCCCACACATATGCCCTTATCCTTCAAACAGACTCGAGGATCCAGCACCCCACATCCCACATAGACTGAAGGATCCCGCACCCCACATCCCACACAGATGCCATCATCCTTCCAACAGACTGGAGGATCCAACACCCCACATCTCACACAGACTGGAGGATCCCACACCCCACATCCCACACAGACTGGAGGATCCCGCACCCCACATCTCACATATGTACCTGCACGTGAGGATGATCATGTGCAGCCAAATGATGATGATATGGATGGAGATGATGATGAGTTGGATGGAAATGATCTACGAGAGAATGATGATCTGAGTGAGATTCATGTCATTGACGGGAGATTTTGGATTTGGTCCTAAAGAAGCTCGTAAGTTTCTTATTTATAAATTTTTATTTAAGTATATATTTTCATTTTTAATATAAATTTATATTTAATATTGCTAATTTAAATTATTGTTGTTTAGTTTCTCGCCGAGTCGGACTGCTGTCAAGGTTATAAATTGTATAGTTCAGTAGATGTATAAATAATTTTGGAAGACCTTCAAAGACGTTAAAAATAAAGAAGCTTGGTTTAACAAATTTAAGGTATAATTTATTTATTTTTTTAGTTATTGTTATTTAAATGACTTTTTCATTATAATTATCTAGCTATTTATTTTAATGTCATACAACATTGCAGGAAAAATGTGTGTGGGGCCCATTGAACGAGAAGTTGATTAAAAAAAATTATTATGGAAGAACCTCAAGACGACTTTCTGACATAATACGACGTGTTAGAGAGCGTTGGGAACTTCAGGGAATTCGTCCCAATTAGATAGGCAAAGAGGTTTTTGAGGAACTTCTAAAAATATTGGGAGTCACCAGAATTTAAGGCTAAATCTGAAAATTTTAAGAAGATGAGGGCATCTGAAAAAGGGGTTCTGTTAATGCAGTTTGAAGTATAAGTACCACATAGCATGTTCGATGCATGGTAAATATTATCACTTTTTTAAGTTATATTTTCATTCATAATATATTTTATTAATTAAAGTTAATTTTATTATTTAGACAAAGACTTTGGGGAGACCACCACTGATGATTGAGCTGGTTAAAAAGACTCGGACAAAGAAAATGAATGATTTTGTTGACGAATGTATACTAAAAGCTTTCGTAAGTTATTTAATTTACGTTGTTTATGTATTTTTTAATTTAATGACAAATTTTTGTCGTGATTTTCACGTGGCAACTGAGAAGTTGTGGCGTGAAAATCACGTGGCAATTGAGAAGTCGTGGCGTGAAAATCATGTGGCAACTTTTTTAATATAATTTAATTTAATTTAATTTAATATAATTTAATATAATTTAATATATATTTAACTTAATTTTTTATTGAATGTGTATGAAGATTATCAGACATTGCTCGCAAATTTTCTGATTCATAATCCTCAATATACTGCGAGAGAGGGAGAACTGCTTCATCCAAATGTAAATTTTTATATTTTGGATCAAGTCATTGGCGGAAAAGGACTTAACGGTTATTTTTTTGGTGGTGGAAATTTGGCGGACACCTTGAGAAGTGGAGATAAAACTCTATTTCAAAGAGTTAAAGATGGGAAAGGAGGATCACGTCAACCAAATTTGACACCAGAACAACTTGAAACAGTAAGACAATTAATGTTAAATGAGGCGAGACACGAGTCAGTGCAACGTGAGGCGGCAATGAAGGTCCAAATGGAGATAACGAGGCAAGAGCAACAGCGGCAAATGGAGGTCATGACGAAGAGGCAAGCTGATATGGAACAACAAATGAGACAATTTATGCAAGAGTTTGGTGAAAATCAAAACGTTTGTGGTCAAGAACCAGAAGATGATGGAAACAAAAATAATTTTGACATTGACAACTATCTCAACCAAGATGATCCATTGAATTAAATTTTTTTATTTTGCTTTCAAATTTGAATTTGTGTAACATACTAATTAATTAAACTTATTTACTATATTAAAGAAATCTTAAATTTATATTTTAGTTTATTAATTTTATTATATTAAATTTATTTAATTTACTAATTTATATATTAAATTTATTAATTAATTTTATTAATTTAATTAATAATAAAAGAAAAACAAATTTCAATAATTAATTTTTAAAAAAAAAATATTAGTGACATGATTTTCATGTTACAAGGTTGTGACATGTAAATCACGTTGTAACTTAATTTTTTTTATGAAAAAAAATAAAAGTTGAATAGAATGTTTCATTGTTAAATATAATTAACTAGTGACGTGAAAATCACGTGACAAATAAAATGCTGATCTGACTTCTGCGTCTGCTTCCACTGTAATGTTCAAATTTCTGTGCAAGCGAGTTGCGACGTGATTTTCACGTTACAACTTTGTGACATGAAAATCATGTCGCAATAAATTTGTCACGCGTTCCCCAACTATGTGATTGTTTACGTCGCAAATTAATAATTGTGATATGATTTTTCACGTTGTAACATGAATTTCACGTCGCAACTAATTTTTTTTTTATAATATGATCACTTATAACTTTAGGGAAGACAATGTTTGTCCGATTCTTTAACTAATAGAGGTTTTAATCTTGATTGTCGCTATTTTTGATCCATTATGCCGCCATTCATTCAGGGCAACATGGTGAAGGACAAGCTAAGTCTTCTTAGTTTTCGTTTCAATGTTTATTCGAAGGTTTGATTTTCCCCTTCGATTTTTGTAGATCTCTTTTTGTTTATGCATTTTGGGTGGTACTTATTGACCCATTAATTTAAAAATAAAAAAAGTACAACTTCTATAATAACTTCCACTAAATCCACAATTATTAAATTTCACTTGGTGTGTTTATTTATTTAATTGTATTGAAGTATAGATATTCATTTTATGTTAATGATGTGTTTATGTAACTTTTATGTAGCTGATGAATGAATAAAGAAAAATATGAAATATATAAAGGATTGTATTCAATTTCATTGTGTTGCAGAAAACATATGGTAATTATTTAATTTTCTTTAACTACTATCAAATTTCTTCTTACAGCATTCATTCTATGTCAATATTTACAGATCTTGGTTTTCTTCTCTACCTAATTAAATATGGAATCTAACTTTCCGTTTATAGACACAATTATTTTTCTCATCGCTTTGATTATATCTTTACATTTTTAGACACATGTAATTAAATGTGAAGTTGTTTACCAACTACTGACGCTTTATCCATTTATAGGTTTTCTAATTAAGAATAGCTTTTTCTCATTTTTCTCATTGTTTGATTTTATCTCTACTTACCTTTAATTTTCTCTATCTTAGTTTTAAAATTAAGTAAGAAGACAAGCGTTATCCTTTCATGCACGTGTATACTAAAAAAAAAAACAATCATATTTAAATTTCATATTTGTCCTTTATATTAAACAATAATATCCTTAAAAAATATAATTAATATATATGTTTATTTGTTTAAAAAGTTATGAGGTACATTTTTTTACAAAATTTATCTATATATTTATATAGTTTGAACAATGTATTTTTTTATAAATTGAATAATATTTTTATTGACAACTTTACACACAATATATTTATTTTTATTTTCAGACATTACATATTTTAAGTTGTGTATTTACGTAGAGCTTGATTTCTTATTATTGTTATAGAATTTAAACTTTAATATCAAAATTGCTACATATTTTATACACACATATATATATATATATATATATATATATATATATATATATATATATATATATATATATATATATATATATATATATATATATATATATATATATATATATATATATATATATATATATATATATATATATATATATATATATATATATATATATATATATATATATATATATATATATATATATATATATATATATATCAAATATTTCATCATATAAAATATCTATAATTTTAAAATAAAATTATTTAAGAGAGAAAATTTTAAAAATAATTTTTGTGAATTTAAAAATAAAAAGAAATTATTTCTAAAAAATCAATTAAATAAAATATTTTTTTCTTAAAATAAGTTAGAAATAAAAAAAATGTATAAGATTTTAAAAATAAAATATGATTCATTGAATTTATAAAATAAAATAGATTATATTGATTCATATGGTTAGAATTGGTCAAATAGATGTATTAAATAATACTTTTTATATAAGGAATATTTGTCAAAAGTAATTTTCATATAAATGATATATTAAATACTTATTGCCACCTCATTATTGTTTGCATATATAAAGATTTTGTATCTCTTTTCTTGAAACACAATCAAAATGATAACTAGAATTGAAACCTTAACCTTGTGTTTCATTTTTTGCATAGTCATATCTCAAAGTGTAGCTGATGAACAAGTTGGTTATGGCTACACAATCACAAATGTAACCAACACCACACCAAATTCTTTGACTGCTACCCTTAAACTCAGCAATTCCTCCTCAGTTTTTGGAACCGACATTCAACTCCTCAACCTCACTGCAAGGTAACCACCAATCATAGTTTAAACTGTTATTTTCATGACTCAACAAACATAATCATATGATTAACATTTTGTTTTGAACTTTGAATTGCAGTTTTGAGACCAAGGATAGATTAAGAGTAAGGATCACTGATTCAAATAATAAAAGATGGGAAATTCCACAAGAAGTGATTCCTAGAGAGTCATCATCATCTTCTTCTTCTTCTCTATCTCACCATATTCTAGACCAGGATTCTCAAAACTCAACACACACACTCACACATCCAGATTCAGACCTTATCTTCACACTCAACAACACTAGTCCATTTGGATTCACCATCACTCGCAAATCCTCCAATGACACACTCTTTAACACTTCACCGCAAGACCCTTCAAACTCCGAACAGTTTCTTGTCTTTAAAGATCAATACTTGCAGCTTTCTACCTCTCTACCTTCAGACAGATCTTCTCTCTTTGGTTTTGGAGAGCACACTAAGAGTACCTTCAAGTTGCAATCAGGCAATAATTTCACTCTTTGGAATGCAGATGTTCCTAGTTCCAGTGTTAATGTTAACACTTATGGCTCTCATCCATTTTATTTGGATGTGAGAAAGGGTTCATCTGATGGAAAAGTGAAAAACGGAACCACGCATGGTGTTTTGCTTCTTAATAGTAATGGAATGGATGTTGCTTATACGAGTGATCGTCTTATTTATAAGGCCATTGGTGGTGTTTTTGATTTCTATTTCTTTGCTGGTTCTTCTCCTGAATTGGTTTTGGATCAGTACACTCAACTCATTGGTAGGCCTGCTCCTATGCCTTATTGGTCTTTTGGTAAGTTCAACATGTTTTTTTAATCTTTCTATTCATTCATGCAGATTCATTATGTCGATGCTAACCCAAATCATTGTTAACTCAGGTTTTCATCAGTGTCGATATGGCTACAAGGATGTAACTGATATCACTGAGGTGGTACAGAACTATTCAAAATCTGGTATACCTCTTGAAGTTATGTGGACAGATATTGATTACATGGATAAATATAAACTTTTCACACTCGATCCTGTTAATTATCCACTCGATAAGATGAAGACTTTTGTTGACACTCTTCACAAAAATGGTCAAAAATATGTGCCTATAGTAGATCCAGGTACTTTATTCTAACACCATCAAATATCTTATTCTTTGAAACTTAGCTTACTCTACTCAAGTGTTGTAGAATAGCAGCTATATGCAATTGATTTGAGACGAATTTTGTACACAGGTATTGCTATAAATGACACATATGATACCTATAATAGAGGCTTGAAAGCTGATATCTACATAAAGAGGAATGGAACCAATTATCAAGGTCAAGTTTGGCCTGGACAAGTTTACTTTCCTGATTTTCTTAACCCTACCACCCAAGACTTTTGGGGTGAAGAAATCAAATTGTTTAGGGAACTTCTCCCTTTTGATGGTCTTTGGCTTGACATGAATGAGTTAGCTAATTTCATGACTTCTCCTAACATTGAAAATTCTACTCTTGACAACCCTCCCTACAAAATTAACAGTAACGGAGGTAAAAGACCGATTAACGATAGAACAGTGCCAGCAACAGCTATCCATTATGGTAATATCACTGAGTATGATGCTCACAATTTGTATGGACTCTTAAATTCCAAAACAACAAACAAGGCCTTAGTGAATATAACTGGTAAAAGGCCATTCATTTTGACTAGGTCAACTTTTATAAGCTCTGGCAGGTATACAGCTCATTGGACAGGAGATAATGCTGCTTCATGGAATGATTTAGCATACTCAATTCCAACAATATTGAACTTTGGAATCTTTGGAGTTCCAATGGTTGGTGCAGATATATGTGGCTTCCAAGGTAACACAAATGAAGAACTTTGTCAGCGCTGGATCCAGGTAACAAACATTCATTCATTCATCCACTAAATCTATATATGTTTTATCTTTATATATCTAATAGTACTTTTTATTTTTCTTCATGTAGTTGGGGGCCTTTTACCCCTTTGCAAGAGATCATTCAGATAAAAACTCCAACAGGCAAGAGCTTTACCTATGGGATTCAGTTGCAGCATCAGCTAAAAAAGTGCTCGCCCTTCGCTACCCGCCTTCTTCCATATTTCTACACACTAATGTACGAATCAAGTAAAAACGGGACACCAATTGCGCGGCCGCTTTTCTTTTCATTCCCAGAGGATAGTGCAACATATGAAATAAACTCACAGTTTCTACTAGGCAAAGGAGTTCTAGTCTCACCTGTGCTACAATCCGGTGCAACCACCGTTGATGCATACTTTCCTAAAGGAAATTGGTTTGATCTCTTTAATTTCTCAAATTCAGTGAGTGCTGAATCCGGGAAAACTGTCAAACTTGATGCACCGTCTGATCACATAAATGTGCATGTTGGAGAAGGTAACATTTTGGCCTTACAAGGGGAAGCAATGACAACGGAAGCGGCGCGTAACACCTCATTCCAACTTGTGGTTGTTTTCAATGGAACTGGAAATAGTTATGGACATGTTTATTTGGATGATGGTGAGGCGGTTGATCTAGAAGCGAAAGAGCAATGGACATTTGTTAGATTTTATGGTGAATGGAATGATACTAGTGTTTCTGTTAGATCAAATGTTACTAATGGAAAATTTGCTTTGGATAAAAAATGGATAATAGAAAAGGTTACTTTCTTGGGAGTGCCTAAGAATAAGAGTGTGATGAGAGTTGTGAATAATGGAAAGATTTTAATGAGGGAGAGAGTTTTGGAGACAGGTGTTAGTAACTCATCTGAGTTTGTTATTGTAGAACTTACAAATTTGAAACAGCTTATTGGTGAGGAATTTAAGCTTGAGTCTCCAAGAAAGTAGAAGGCAACTTTGAGAGTGTCATTTTCTGTATGAGAAAAAAAATATTAGTAAATAATATTGTTGTACACGGTTATGAAATAATATGAGTATTATTGATGTCTATATTCTTTTCTGTTTCTTAGTTAAATGAACCAACCCGCATCATTGATAAATTTCAATTCATAAAATATATGATTTGAAGTGCAAACTGTGTAAAAAGTAGAAATTCTGAAGACGGGCCAAACTCATTGATGAAGAAAGAATAATATGAATAATATATCATGTGAAAATGATGGTATTTGTGCTTAAGCAGAAAGAGCATCCCAAGTTCAAAAGAAAGAGAGAAGACATAAGACATTTTTGTAGAGCACACATTGTCCCTTACTTACTGAGGCTCTGGGGAAATGATCCGATTTGAGCTTATCAAGACGTCTTTCAATAAAGTGAGGAATACTTGTCTTATTTGGTAAGGAGATGTATGAGGTTATTAGCAGTTGTCCAGGATTTGAAATAAAAAACAGGGCCCTTTGCAGGAGGATTACTACCTCGGTGTTCATGGGCATCAAGGATGGAATTGAAGTCGACTAAAAACGACCAAGCCAGATGATGAGAGAGTTGTAAGTTGTTCAGGTCATTTCAAAGCTCTTTACGTTTAGCTTGATTGGTAGTGGCATAGACTGCAGCATAAGCTAGGAAGGTGTTATCAACCACCAAATTGGTCGGAGATGGAAAAAGCTACTCTATTTATAGACACAAAAGGATATTCCATAATAGAATTGATTTAATAATTAAGTTATAAAAAATAATTAGAAATATTAAAATATTTTTTAATATCATCCTTTCATTTAAGATTTTTAATTAAAATTAATTACATCAATTTCATTCTTTAAGCGAATAAATTTGTCATAATATGTGTCAGCTGTTTCTGGGTGCTACAGTGCACAATTTCTAATACTCCGTTCTGGATTTGACTTCTGAGAAAATGATATTTTGTCTCAATATGCTTGTTTCTCCCATATAGAACTGTGTTCTTGGCAAGATTGATTGCAAATTTGTTATCAATCACCACCTTCAGAGGCTTATCTATGTTGATCTTTAGATTTTTGTAATAGATTCAGAAGTCACATAACTTGACAAGTATCTACAACACCTGCAATGTACTCAGCTACACACGTTGATAGAGCAGCAACAGATTGCTTCTCGGAACACCAAGAAATAGAACCTTCCAAAAACTTAAACAAGTATCTAGAAATATTTCTTTTATCAACTTTATCTCCACACCAATCATAATCAGAGTAACTCATCAACTCTGAATTTGTCTTTCTTCCAGAAGGGAATAGTACTCCAAACTTCAGAGTTCCCTTGATATACCTCAGAATCTTGACAGCAGTTTGATAAAGGGACCACTTATGTTTACTCATGAACCTACTAACCAATCCAACGACATAGCAAAATCAGGTCTGATATTGCACAAATACCTTAGAGAATCAACCAATTGTTTGAAGGTTGTAGCATCCACATCTTCACCATTAAAGTCATAATCTAATTTATGATTGGTTTCTGATGGTGTAACAACAACTTTAAAATTCTGCAGCTTAAATCTCTTCAGAAGCTCAAGTTCATACTTCAGCTGATGCAAGATGATACCTGTTGTACCCCAAAATTTTCCCTCTCTTATCTCTCAAGACATCATTGCAAGAAAAATCTCTAAGTTACCCAAGGTTGCTCAAGGATTGGTCAGACAAGCTATCTCCTAAGGCAGGCTACCCCAAATTAGGGTTTTGTGTTGCATCAAGATTCTTGAGTCCAAATGACCTTAAGTGCTCCCTAATATCCTAATATGTTCTCAATATCATCCATGTCAAGTTTCAAGCCTTGCAGAGGAAGTGTGCTCAGTCAATTGCTCAAAGGTCCAAAAATCGACTATGCTAGGGAAAAAGTCAACTATGACCTACAAACAGTCAAACTTCAAGATTTTTTGTCAACATTCTCATTTTGAAGGATATTTCATCATTTGATCAAGGGTTTATCATGATTCATCAAGGATTGCTCAAAATTCATCAAGATTCAAAAGTTGCTAAATTAGGGTTTTGTAGGAAAAGTCAACTCAACTTTGACTAAGCATAACTTTCTCATAATTTATGAGAAATGACCCATCAAAAACTCATTTTGAAGAGGATGCAATTCCCTACAATCCATATTCATATCCCAAGATCAAAAAATGCACTCACAAGAAGTTATGAATTTGGACATTATAGATCAATTTGAAAAGTCAACAAAAACACATTTTTTTCCAAAGCTTATAACTTGAGCATGGAATATCAAAATGAGATGAGACCAAAAGGGTTGGTTAGAGGACATCGCAAGCTTTCTAAAAAATCCAAGAACACTTCCAAAAGTTCAAAATTGAAGAAGTTATGCATTGTTGAAGTTGGACTTTTTTGCAAAATTGCCAAAAGTCAACTATCCCCAAAACTTCAAATTTTGCCAAATGAGCCCATTATTTTCCACTTGTTTTGAGTTTTCATTGTAGCCCACGTGTTCCAGCCTTGGCCATATGTCTATATCATTTTTTTATTAATTATTTTGATTTTATTTGAATTAATTTGATTTAAATCAAAATAAATCAAACAAAAATCAAAAGGCATTGATAACAAAGATTTTATGTTGATTTCAGGTTCCATTATGCAGCTGGCCATCATCAAATTCGTATCAAGTGAATCATGTGCAAAAAAGATTGAAATTGAGCCAATTTGGAAAGTTTGTAAAGGCAAATCAAATCAAATATCAAAGCCTTAATGGAGAGAGATTTAGACAAAGTTTGTTACCCTAATCCAATGTGCATTACATAAGCAAGCAAGAGACACGAAAATCAGGGTTAGAAAGCATTGGTAGAGGCAGAACAAAAGTGGAAAAAAATCACAAAAAAGCTTGAGATCGAAATCCAGGTTGGAGGCATTTTCAAGGCCTGAGACATATCCCAATCGCTTCCTGGAAACGCACACAAGCTATCCCAATCCAAACCAGGCATTCTCAGGCCCTCATACGCACTGTAAGTCTCACGCAAGTTGCCCCTGTTCTTGAATTCGATTTGAGTTATTCTGGCATCATTTGAGTAAACTAATAGCATATTTGTGATCACAAGAACATTTGCAAACCTTTGGCATCATTTAATTTCATTTATCTAACTTGTATTGCAAACCACCATAGTTAGGGTTTCTTGGACGTTTTTGGGAGTTTTCTGTTTCAGGGAAAATTGGTCCACGTGAAGGACATGGTTGAGATCAGGAGGTCATGACGATTTCAACCATGTTCTTGGAAGTTATTTACATGGCCTGAGGACGATTTTAGGATGAAGCTGCGTCCTTTGCTGCGGATAAAAATCTGCAGGTAATGTTACAGTATTGGGAGGACAGGGACGAAGAGCTGTCACTCGTCCATTGGACCATTCAAATGATAACGCGTGTTTTTTTTTTGCTGGCATTTGATTTGTTTTTTATATAATATATTATTTGTATTATTATTAACAAACAGCAACGTGCTTCAGTGGTTGCCACATAAGCCATTAAGGCATTCCAAGGCTGGAGGTCAGGGGTTCGATCCCTGCCTCCAGCATATTGCCTTTTCTCAATTATTTTCAGGAGATCTAGTGCGTGTTCAAGCCAAGGGATCACCATGCTCCCTCACTCTTCAGCATGTCAGATGGCCAATGGCCAGATCTGATGGTCAGTGATTGGAGGTCCACCAAAGAGTCAGTCAACGCGCCTACACTGGATCCAAAAAGTCCACATGGGTCAGCAATCATTTGGGCCAACGAATTGCTTTCCATACCCCCCAAAATCAGGCCCACTCTCTCTTTTCTTGATAATTTGTTTATTTATTTAATTATTTTAATTTTGTTTAATTTATTTCTAACCAATAACAAAATTCCTTTTTATCAAATAAAATTACAAAAATACTTTTTTTATCCAATCAAATTTTAAACTTTTATTTTTATTAATAAACTTATTATTTAATTAGGAAACTTTAATTTATTTTGTAAATATTTAAAATTAATTAGACTTAATTAGATTTTAAATACTAATTTAATTATTTTATTTTCTTTCTTAAATTAACAAATACCCAAAAATATGTCATAAATTATTTTTCATTAATTAATTTAATTTAGTTATTTAATTTAGAATTTAATTTCTTTCCTTAAATAAAAAACAACAAAAAAGCAATTTTCTTTCAAAAGGGTTAAAACCCTAAATTTCGCACTCGATTTAATTTCCCGCGCGCTTTATTTATTTTTATCCAATTATGTATCTGCTTACGGATTGTAATAGTTAAATAGGACATTTTACTTATTTACCGCTTTATTTTATTTTCAAAGGGTTGCTTTTGGCGATGTAAATACCCGACGCCTTGTAATTTAATTCCCGCACCTTTAATTTCTGCAAATTATAGCTGCTAGATGTTTGATAATAGGGTTTGCATGACAAGACTGAATGCTTAATCTTAAAATCAAATTAGATCACCCTTAACATGTGCAAAGATAAAAATAACTGAAAACGACACACTCGCACATGCGCACTCCTAGGATACACCCCACTTGGTTGCCTTCGTACACAGTCATTGAGTATAGGTCGTTTTAGAGGTCGTCCTCTTGTCTAAAAGATCATAGTCGCCTCGAAATGGTTGCCTCGGATATTGTTGCCTCAAACAAATGATCTAAGACATTAGGGTTACCGCTAAGGCGTCCTAACATTACTTTAGTGACCGTATGTCCCTCATTCGAATTGAACCTCAAACTCCAACGACGATGCTACCTATTAACTAGTAGTGGACTAGCATTGTCTAAAGGAAGTTAGCATAGAACGATTCCTTTTTCGAGTAGGTAGATAGTTCTTAGATATTTGCTCATCCAAAACAAAACTTTTTCACACTTACACTCTTTTTCAAACAAAGTTTTCAAAAACACTTCATTAAACTCTTGAGGACAGAAGCAAGAGTTAAATCGAATTTTTAAACAAAAACTT